TATAATGTTGTGACATCAAAGGACACCATTAGTATTTCATTGTCTTCTACTTGAATGTTTTTGATTTTCTCTAAAAATTGGATTGACGAATTGATAGAATGGTTGCATGATTCTGTTAGGTATTTCAATTTTCTAGAAACCTCTTTAGATAGATTATATGTTGGTGTCTTTGGCAGCGAAATGATTGGTCGTAAGGGAATGTTTGGTTTGTGTAGTTTCGGCCAACCGTAAAATCGAGATAAAACAGATCCGTTAGATTTCATTCGCCATTGAGCTTGTTCTGCAATTTTTCCTGATTTCGTTAGTTTATTTGGTGTTATTTTGATTTTGTTATCTGATGTTTGTACAGGGCTTTTTGCCAACTGTTGATATAAATTATTACCTTTTAGTAAATCAAGTAAATGACAATGGTGTCCTTGATTTCACGACATTATTTGCTTTAATTAGTTCAAAACCAGTAAAAGAAACTATGCAACAATTACTCTATAGAGATGAAAACATAAAAACGCAATGTTCAACTTGGATAGAACTCATAGAATTATGTCTTACAACATACTTCCAATAAGGTAATCACATATACGAATAGATTAAAGGAACACCAATGGGATCGCCCATATCAGGATTAATAGCTAAAGCCGTCATGCAAAGATTAGAATTAATAGCTCTACCTATAATTAAACCAAAACTCTGGGTACGTTACGTTGATGATACATTTGTAAGTATCAAAAGAAATTATTTGGAATGTACCCATAAATTAATAAACAGCATATCTGAAGACACTAAATTCACTACAAGAGAAGAAGAATTAGACCACAAAATTCCATTCTTAGATATCTTAATCAAGAGAACTAACACAGGAAATTTAGAAACACAAGTATATAGAAAATCAAAGAACACATACAGACCAAATACCCAACTATAAAATAGCAGTAACTCAATGATGTACATAAGAAACTATGTGCGGACATTGTTTACAAGAATTCAAACACACTCTAGCACTCCTGTGTCGAGGAGAATGGAGGGAAAATATCCACTAACAAACCGTCTTCAAAAAGAATGGATATCCACACAATTTCATTAAAGTGTTTAAACTCGAGTCACAACACCAACAAGAAACCATCATCAAAGACCACAGGAAAATCCACCCTAACATATATAAAAAATATCTCTGAAATAACAGCTAGAATATTAAGACCGTTTGAAAAAGGTATAGCACACACGCCAGTCAGCCAGCCAGCACAATCACTTCATTCGATATTGTGGAAACCGAAAGATCCAAAATAAAAGAATATAAAATTAATACCGTTTACAAAATAAATTGTATGGATTGCAGTAAAATACATTACATCGGTCAAAGTGGGCGTCCCCTTCGAATCTGAATCCAAGAACACAAATTGACTGTAAAAAGGCATGACACATGTTCTTTCATATCAATGCATATAGATAATTACGGACACCAATCCGATGATTGGGATAATGTAGAAATTTTAAATAGAGGAAACACCAAACATGCAGTCAGGGAATTTCTAGAAGCCTGATACTCAAGTGAATTAGCAATTAACAAACACATTACTATAGACCAAATTTACTAGCTTCTAATAAAAAGCAGATCACATGACAGGTAAGTTTAGATTCCAAGTCAATAAAAATGATCAATAGAGACGCAAATTAACAACCAGTCAGGACAATGATATATTATCATTCATGGATACTTCAAATAAGTTCATTCCATTCTAAAAACTACGCTGAAATGTTGTCTAGAAGGAGAACAAATGCTTCACAATTAAGTTAACCAGCTCAGGGAACGTAACTAATTGTAAATCATCCACCTGAGCTAGAAATCTCCATTACTTCGGGGGTATGTCTACCGATAATCGAAACCTACAGGATAGTTTTGACTAAATGAGCTCCAACATAGAACTTTACACAAAAGTCTAGCAGTTCAAATTGCTACACTCCATGTACCTCACAAAGGCAGACAAACGAGGGGAGGAAAGAGATTACAAAGACCATAAAAAGTAAAAATGTGCGAGAGAAAGAAATAGTAACTTGGATAAACATGACGGTTTGATGGATATGGGAGATCATAAAGAGTGTACGATTTCAAGCTCAAACCTTAGCAGGAATTAATTACGGAAGAGGTTGGATGGGGTGAAAACACTTAAATGAATATTCTGTATATTTAGAGAAGTTTCGTTTGCTGGTACTTAATGAAACCTAAAAGCGGTGAAACTATCACGATTCAAGTGGCATCACTAAGAATGAATTGCAAGTACTGAACGTCTCTATAGCTTGTTGGTTTATTCTAACTTTCCAGTATGAGTCCTAGATGAATTATCTACCAGAAGAAATAAAGCAAAATGTTAAATCGAAAAAAGGCTCAGCACTGTAAACTATTAAGCACAGTGCTGTTTACTATTGAGTGAAAATTAAATAAGATTTAGAAAAGTTAAATTTTTGATGCATCTTACAACACCCAATTTCATCTGTTGTTCACTGATAATAACCTAAGGTTAAAGTTAAACCAAACGAACAAAGGGCTTCACACTAACACAGCCAAAAATACTCCAGGTGTAACAAGATTTTAGAACTTAGCTTTACTTGACATATCGTGTACACACATACAGTGAAACGAAGTAGATGTAATAGTTTTAGTTTTATGGTTAGTGCCACTATATTTCTTTACTAGTCTTACTCTACTACTAATGATCCAGTTGATTTAACATAAGCACATACGAATAATGCACAGGACGACGTTAAATCACCGTCACTGAAGTAGTTAAAGACGTTCACAAGAGAAGTCTAAAAGTTAGTGAAACCATCTGAAGACATAACTCCTACGAACAAACTTCAAATAAGTGAGGCTTAATACATCACGATAGATGTAGCTATCGATTTCTCAAAAATCTTTCCTTATACCTAAGGCCACTCACCCACACTCATAACATTCATGTTTCTAATCCACTAATAAAGTTGGGTAGTCCCCCACTTACTTAACCAATTTAACGTTATTTCGTTGGTTCCTAGTGCCTAGTATAACAACAAGCAGTTAAAGAACATGCGTCACTTCAAAATAACTGATTGACTGAGTTTTGGCATAGGACTCTGCACAGAAGTACAGCAGTTCAGGTTTCTGCATCCCAAATAGTACACAAAGGTAGAGAAAAAAGAAATTGAAAACAACTAAAATGAGCAGAAATGTACGGGAGCAGGAATAGTAAAATGGAAAAACATCAGCTTATGATGGATCTGAGATTAGGAGTGAATGTATAGGCACCAGTGAGAAGCATTTTCAACCATATCACCAATAGTCTCCAGTCATTGGTTCTCAGAATACAGACAACCCCAACTAGGCAAACTACACCTCCTTACGTATCTAGCTCAAACTAATAGTCAAAGACTTCATAGATTAATTCCAGGTTTTTGTTTGACTACCCTTAACTATTTTCCAACTTTATCCTACATCAGCTAACACTGACTGTCGAGGTGATGACTTGGTATGCACAACACGTGCCCTAGCCATCTCAATCGATGTAGCTTCACAATCTCGTCAATTGACTTACTCTCCCTACCTAAAGCTCTACGTCCAACCTCAATGTTGCTTACTATATTATGCCAGTTAACAGGGGATATGTTGCAAACATCGGTGATCAGAGACAACTAGCCCTTTTATGTTTTCCACTTTCAATGGCTATGTCTCACAGCTATAAATGAGGACAAAGAAAAATGCTGAGCAATACAAACGTCCTTTAATGGATAGCCAGAAAAAACTTTTACGACAGAGATTGGATAAGCTGTCAAATGCCCCACGAGCCTTTTGTACCCATACTGAGATCTCATCAAATGACTCGACTTCCCAAATAAGGGAAGTAGTCAACACACTCCAACACTTCACTCTGCATTTAAGATAGGAGTCAGTGTAATCCAGTATTTCAGTATCACCTTGCATTTGATAGGAGCAAGTCGCATGTCAAATATTCAAACCTTACTGCTTAAAGTGTTCGGAAGACTGTTTTCAGAGTCTTCACTTAGGAGAACAATATCATAAGTATACGCAGGATTGTTTCCTGGTAGGAAGTCAGTCCTTAAATCCCCAAAATTAGATGGGGTAAACCTCGGTAGTACATCTACGATGAGACCCAACAAAAATGGGGACAGCAGACATCCCTGACGTACACATGTCATCACTTGAGATGATAACTCCGTAAGCTCCTAAAATGCTGCTTGAGTCTGGGTACAAGGACAAACAGTTAAGGGCAAATGTTTCATGCACTAGTTAGGCAGCCCGGCTAGGTTAATATAATGTTATTTGCATGCAAGGTTGATGTGTCTTTGCTTAGCTTACCATGTCTTTCGAGTAAGTCTTAGTGTGAGTACTAAATACAGTCATTTGACATAGATAAAGAATTTTGGTTAAGAATGAGAGGCTTCAAGTCTATTTTAACCCTATTCCAATAAGTAATTATCATCATCCAAATCCTTCTGGGACGAGTCAATTGAGGGGGACAGAAAACACCTTCCGGAAGTCTTCCAAGAGTTAATGACTCGGTTGGAGAACCAGATTTTCTCATGGCTGTAATGTCATCCTAAAACATGAATGCCTTAAAGGGTGTTAAGGCCCATTAGTCTCATAAAAGATACGTTTTAAAACCTACTTTCCTCAGTAATCTTTGATTAGCTTTCGAGTATGTCACCACACGTACACTGAATATGCAGAAAGGATCATAGTCGAAGGTCTTAAACAAATTCAAGCCGATGACACAATAAAATATGAAAACCGCTGCCAAATCTCATGTTAAATGCACACTTATTACCTGGGACAAACCGAAATATACTCGTTGGGCCTACTTCTTACGATAAACGAAGGTCTCCTGACTTCACTAATTACTGCTTACGTGCAGAAAGTATTTCTGACGACAACTAAAGACTTAGTACGTTTGAATTACAACGCATGACCCACAGCATAGCATGATTCTTAACGAAATCACAGAACAACTTACCATCGTTTAGAGGTAACCCGGTTGCCGCGGTGATAACGCAATATTTAGTTGGCGGGTCGAATGATTACACAAAATTCTCATCCAATATCCAGTATCCAATATCGTTTTTATTAGCTAGTATAAACCAGTTTGATTTCTTTGTGCTCGCTTCTTGATTGTGAGATAAAGGTTCCCGGTCTTCAGTAAACTTCTGTGGAGTTCGTCCCACCACTCGATTGTCGTAGCTTTGGTTGGCTCCAGAAGGAGTGGTGCAGGGATTAATTATATGTTGTTTGAAGAATGCGGTGTGTTAATGCTTTGTTGCTACTGTGAATGGAGTTGATCCTTTCAACAGTTAGTTCTCCGGTATCGTCGTCAGAAGAAAAGAGATATAAATAAAATTAGTGTAGTTTATTCAGGCTAAAAGACAGAAAAATAAATGAAAAAACGTAACTCCCCTCTTCCTTGTTATTCCTGTATCTCTTGACCACAACCATATCACTTATACTGATTTAGTTGTCGATGATAGTCGGAATTAGCCTGGTTTCAGTGAAGATTATTATTTTAAGGTTTAGGTGAGACTGGAGGTTACTGGGTTCACCTACTTTATCCCTCAGCCCTCTTATATTCCTGTGGGGCGAGTCTCACCACCTCAGCGTGTTGTGGGATAGTTGTCTGCAGGTAGGGGACCTAATATTGGGACTAGTTGGCTGAATCAGATGGAAATGACTCGCTGCCATTTTTTCCTTGGATTCAGGTAGAACACTTGGGTAACACAGACTGTCATTCTCAGTACCGCATCGCTCTAGTGTCACTGAGGCTTGGGGACGTATTAAGGTCTGAGTCCACTGCCTCCTAATGGTTCGAGATCTGCTTTCTCAGCATCGGATATGTCCTACCAGTTTGCCCTTGGTCTCGCACCACCATTGAGGTACTAGGGCCAACAGTTCCTGGGAGTTGAACTTTACACTTAGCAGCTTTGGGAAGCTAATTAGTGTGAGATGAGCGGGGCGAGGTAGCCGGAAAATCGAGATTGCTCCAGAAGCATCAAAGGCCATCTGAGATGACAGCTATCTCCATTGTTGTACGTGATGCATGTTTTTTCACAAGCAGTGCCTGTTTCCAGCTCCGGAACACCGTGCATAACTATAGAGGTAGAAGGCATCAGTTCCGGTGACTCCCTCGCCATTTGCCTGTTAGCTCATGGCCCATCATGTCTCACCCTTATACTAGAACTCCTGAGCCAGTAACAGTATTCTTTCCGCCTCCTCGTCAGAGCCCAGTGTGACCATTAATGGATGTGGCTCTGATAGGACCCAGAATAAAATAGTATATCATCCTTTCTCACGAATCATGTGATTTATCTTAAGATGGAGTTACTTCGCGAATGTATCATTTCTCAGGCATAGTATGATTTAGTGTGTGACCAATTCACCTTCTTTTGTCTTACCTCGGTCTTTGTCGGATCGTCAACCTATGAGGATAGACGTTTCCAAACAATAAGAACAATACATTCCCCATGGTTGTGCGCCGATCTTATTATGGTAAAGGAAATGTTTAAATATCGTGTGTTGCTTCTTAAAGTTATATAGTATAGTATAATACTATATCTTACAGTCACAGACCAGTCTTTGTCTTTTGATATTTGCGTGGCTCATAGAGTCGGAAGGTACAACGGACGGCAGACGTATTAGCATACCAGTCGAGTTTATCACCGTTATAGTAATTAACAGGCACAGACAACAAAATAGCGACGGATTTACTCAGTTCATTTCATTTATAACAAACTGGCAACGGAGTTATAACAGGCTTACCCTGAGATGCCTGGACACCCCTGTACAGCCTGCGCAATTTTGCTGAATTGATGTTCGGACCTAATTTACTGCACAAAGTGGACCATTGTTTCTGATCAAACAGGGCTCTTTTTCAAGCAAACTATCACTGCACATGGATGAATCAAACAGGATAAGGGAATTCGATCGACTGACCTCAGACTGAAGTTGGGATTTTGGCTGGTGATCCTTCTTTGTAGGGTCAGTCAATTAAGATTTCATCAGGTTCTGACTAGTATTTGCTGTGTTGCCATGCTTGCTTGTGGATGCAAGTGGTGCTTTGGCAATTCTATCTTCCCCTTATGCTGTAGGTATGACCATTGGGGTCTTCACTTCATGAAGATTGGTAGCTCCAGTCGGTTGAGCTAGAGTGTCCTTCTTACTGTTTTTACCAAGTTTTGGTAATGTGGCGTTGTCAGGTGAAGGGCTGCATGCGACTGTGTTGATACACAAGAGCGGCGTGCTGTTTCTACTATCCACAGGCACACTGTGTGAGACTGTGCCAGGGAGATGAAGTGTTCAGATGTACTAGAACCATGGGAGCGGGTTATTTCGCAAAAACTCATATGGTTTTGGCAACACAACGGCAGTGTACCCATCGTTTGCAAAAGTTGCATTCGAATACTGAATCAGTTTTGGAAACGACAACACTGCATGCTTAACATTTGTCTGTGTTTCTAGATGACGCTTTCGAGGTCTTATGACGTCTTGAGCGTTTCGTTTTTGTTTTGCTGTGTGTCATGCACTGCCTTCCAATGGATAATGGTGTAGTATCATGTCCACCTGGTTTTGCCCGTGCCGTTTCAGTGCAAGACTGCGGCAATGTAAGCATATTATCAGGACAGGGGATATGTCCGTGGGTAATTAGAATCTGAATGTGAGATGGGGCCAATATTCCTAGGTTATTGCATCCTCTAGCTGAAGCCCTTGTGACTACAGAATATGATGTTTTAGTGCTTTTTATAAGGCTACCTTCAGCGGCCATATTAACAATTACTATAACTATGCTACATATGAGCAAGAGATATTAACAGTATCTGCCCAACAGAACAAAAAATAAAACTGATAAAGTACGAGATAACGAAAAGAAAAGGTTTAGCTAATACTTTCTGGTTACCCGGCTTCACAGCAGTCACGTGGCAGACGAACAAGTCTTGTCTTCCTGAACGAATGAGAAAGGTGCTGCCACAGATGTAGCACCTGAAGCTTTGACAGGAATTCGAGACAGCTGGACTTACCGTGCAGAGATTTTATATGGAAGTAATGGTAGAGTTTAATCCATTGGCTAGGAAGGTCAGGTTATTTAAAGAAATTTATAAGAAAATTTTCACATAATTATTTAGGCGGAAAAAATGCATTATGTATGATGCTACGCAGTTTACAGCGCAGGTTTATGGTATCCAGTCTTTTGACTTTGTGTTCTATCAATATTTAAAGATCGGGCGAACCGCTGACTATGCAGTAATTGATATCGGTTTTGGTACGACTAGTGAAATGCCAAGAGTTAGCAATACACTACGTCTAGTCCAAGCTGATTTCTCTTCTCTTGCTTCTTGGCAATGGAGGAGCGTCTTTGGTTTCTACTGCACTTCGGTTAATGTCAATATTAACGTTTCTGTTCAGTGAGCCAGCTACTGACATAAAGCTGACAGATAGAGCTATGGAAGTTTGGCTAAATCCGAAAGGAAGTCCGTTGTCCACATAAAACTTGTGGTGCAGCAATTATGGGAGACAGTCCTTTCACTGTTCAGTCATTCGGATTTGGGGAAGATAATAAAGTAATAGTCATAATAAGAGTGATAATAATGGGAATAGAGATTTAAAGGTAAGCAGACTGGTGAGTTTTTAAAGGCACATGATTCATTCAGCTGCCTGTTGTGACCTGACATGGTACTGATATACTTTTCATTGGCTTCTTTCTGCACGTCGTCGTCAACGAATAGGGTTGTATTTGTATTCTGCATACGTACTTATTGAGTGTTTTCTATTTCCGTCTTACACTCATTTCCAGCCTTGTCCTCATTACCACAATCTATCCCGTTGCTAACCACTCTGTCCGGAGAGAACGGTAGCCGTCTTCCACTAGGGAGTATCAATGTTGGTGACGTAATGAATCCGCTGAGTTTACTCAAATTAGTATTCCGTATTAGAGATAAGAATTACGCCTATGCTTTGTAGAATGTTTTATTTATATCACTGTACGGAGACACACTCATACAAGGCATAACAAATGTGACTATTACAGGGGGGCACTGCATCAATCGAAGTGTGAGTCCTACAGGAATAGTTTCCACTTTTCTGAAGAACTTTATGGTTAGGGGACTTTGACTAGTATAAAGGTTCAGAATAATGGATTATTTCGGAATAGACCCCTAAGCCGCTACCTTATTAGAAGAAACTATTTGACTAAGCCAGTGAGATTTACATGGATTAAATCATATTAAGCAATTTGGATATCAAACAGCAAGTCCACATGCCTGAATCCACTACCATGGCCCCTGTAGCAACAGTATCACTCATTTCTAACCAACGTGCAACCAAGACTTGTAAATTGTTTGCTCGAATCCTAAGAAGATGCATCGAATATAAAATGTAGATATACATATGTATGCCAGGCTGAATTTAAACAGAGACCACAGGTTTAATATTCTTGCAGAATAAAAAATGCTTCATTCTATGTTAACTAGGATAGCTGCTTCTAGAGGAGCAAGGTGGACAGACGAAGGCAAACACTCATCGTGTTCAGCTTATCTCTTTGTATGAGACAGTTTATATTGGCTACTGCGGACTTCTGCAGTGTGGAGTAGTAGGACGCTTTTTGCTACAGACTTTGCAAACCAAATTATCGCAAGTTTACCGGATAGGCACTCCATCTTGTGTAAAACCCTCCGTCAAGAGTCTCTTTAGACGTAACCACCCAACATCAGACCAAAACTCTTTTAGGAGCAGGCCAAATCAGTTGTCTCCCGCATAGCTCCAAACGAGGCTGAATCCACAGATATATTTGTGCAAAATATTCCGAACTTTGCGACAATTCGTGCAAGGAAGAGTTTTCCCTACTATCTGCAGCATCATTAGCGACTGTATTTATAACTGGAGCTTTTCCATGTCATAACGTCTATTACCTGAATCTCTCCATCACACCACGAAACAAAATGGTAAATTCTGGATACTTGAACATCGTGGACGATGTTCCTTACGCATGGTATAAAGTTAAAGACATCTCAAGTAGTATCATTTGATGCTATGTGGAACGGTGTCGCGTGATAGCAACAAAATAGAACAGTAATAATGTGTCGCTAATTACTAAGTTTAAGTTCCTAGAGCTAACCAAATCCCAAAGGGAAATTTTGGCACAAGTAAAGTTTCCGTGGAAATGGCTGACTTGTAAAATGCTATCTCTACGTGGAAATATCAACACTTACCAACACTGTACAGAGTGTTGGTTTGGCTAAAGATGTTACAAA